AGTATAATTGTTTGTTATCAGCAAATAAATAGCAATTGGATACTTATCATTTTAGATAGAAAAATTTTATATCACTAGTCCCAAGATTCCCAACAATGGATGTATTTATTTCCAAAAATCACAATTACGGTTTCTTCTAGTAAATCAAAGCTATTGGATGTATCTTCCCAAAATAAACTGGTTTCCACCGATCTTTCATATGTGACTGACAATTATTAATTTTTTTCTACTAAACAATCAGCCCCTATCTCCTGTCTCCCCCTTCCCATGCAACACAACAAACTCCTCAGTCCTCCCCCACCAAAACTCCAAGACACACCTAGGAGCCTACTCTTCTCCCTTTGTCATCTGAAATTAAGGCTTTCTCCCTCTGACAAAAAACCTAATTGTCGTTGCCAATCTCATCTCTCTCTCACTCCTTCCTTATCGGTATGGTGTACTCACCTTCTCTCGGTTTTCTCTCTCTCATTTTATAAGAATGTGTTAATAGTGACTATTTTGGAGTTTTGATTTTTTTTTTTTTTTTTTTTTTTTTTTAAGTAGTGGTGCTTAGAAGAAGACTGCCTAGAAAAAGACAGTTGTAGCAGTGAATAATGGAGTTGGCAATACCAACCCATTTTACATGGATGTACGGCCTTTGCCTAACAGGCTTAGAAAACTTAGTAAGGGAAATTGATAGGCAATGGTGTTTGCTAACAAGTGATGAAAGAGTTGGTAGTGGATGGGGTGTGTGATGGTGGTTGGGCTGGCTGGGTTGGTCAAGAAAGGGAGTGGTGGTTGGCTGGGAAAGAAGTGAGACTGAGTCAAGACAAGGCATATTGGGGATTGGATTAGCTAAGGCAGGGAAGGAAGACAATCAGAGGAGAAAAGAGGTAAAAGAGTGAAATAAATAAATAAATAAATAAAATAATAACTAATTAACAGGAATCAGGTAACATAGATCCATTATGAGAAGGTACCCTCTAAAGTTAGGATTATTCCATAACCAGCAGTTAAGAATAATCTAGAAAGACCATCTATAGTTGGATTATTATTCTGGAATTTACCTTTTAGAAATGCAAAATAAAAGCTCCAAATGTTATATAGTCAATCTTTGGCTCCCTATCCCCTAAGAACATACTTTTCTAAGATCATCGCCTTCGAAGCTGTTTTAAGCTCACACTAGTGCATCAGCTATGTCACAATAAAATGAAATCAATGTTGACCCTTGACCTGTAAACCTCAAGTGTACAGGACAAGTAAGCTAACTAATCAAGTAATCATCCATGCTCTGTGTACTATAACTAACTCGGCCATACATAAGAAGTTTTGTTCTTAATTTGCATATTCCTTAACATACTTCCCCATCAAATCAATGATCAATCTAAATGACTAAATGTAAGCTACATTAGCAGGACAATAATTTATACGACATAAACAGCTAATCATGACCAGCAAAAGGGTGCAATATACAATGATAAGCGTTGCTAAAGGGCAATGACAAACTTCCACAACACCTCCCCCCCCCCCCAATTTAAACCTAATCAACTACACAAACTATATGTAATTATGTATAAACAAGATATGTCAATCATAAGCAATCCCTATGCTCCCTTAATGAGCTCAACCATTGGCACCAAAAAGTTTCCAACTTTCAAAAGAGGCAACTGGTTCGAATCCTTAAAAAACACCCCATGAAATAACATTGGTACAATATATTAGCTAGAACAAAACTTATTGACTTCAATGGTTATCAGACACAAACAAAGTACAAACACTGAGCAGTAGCATACTAATACAACACAATCAAAGTGAATAAAAATAAACAAATGAAGGCATACCTGCCTCTTCAAAAGAAAGCTAATGCCAAAGGCCAAATCCCCAATAGGCCACTTCCCCAAAGTCTCAGAATATGTAAACCGGAGCGTCTCCGATAAGGTTGAAATCGTCTCCAACCACGTTGCAGGCGCTCGAATTAATCGAGTAGAAACCCTCTCAATCCCTAAAGGACCATTATTTCCGGTTATAACCGCAACATTTTCCTCTTCATCAATCTCAACTGTACCCGATTGCAACTTCTTGTTTAAGGTATAATACAATAGTGCAGCTGCACCAGCAGCTGATGCCATTGTTACTGTTGCCATTAGCTTTGAATAATCTCTACGAATTAAATTCCACAAAAAAATCAATAAACTTACATAAATTTAATTACTTAATATTAATATCACAAATTGCACTCAAATTCAAATTCCTAATAATAACAGAAATTTCTAACAAACTAATTCAACTAAAAACAATAACAGTGTTAAGCAGAAGAGCTTCACCTGAACATAATAATTCAACAAATACGAGATAATTAAATCGCAAAAACCCTAAAAAATCCAAAATTGAATATTTCTACTATAAATCAAATAATCACGATGAAACTAAAATAAAAACTGAAAAAGGAGAGAGAAATTGAAAAGAAAGAGCAAATTAAAGCAACGAAAAAGAAGGAGTGAGAAGAAACCTGGCATAAAAATTCCAGAAATTTTGGAAAATTGAAAAAAAGAATATGCGATTTGGGGGAAGATCTCTTGCTTTTCTCTCTCCTTAAAACTACAAAAAAAAAAGGGGTTAAGGTTTTTGGATCGAAGCAAAGAAGTTTAAGGATTGGAAGAAATTGAGAGGTTAACGTTACTTTTTTTTTTTTTTTTTTTGTGTGTATAAATTTAATTTTATGTTTGGGTTTTTATTTGTGTATGAAATTGTAATTCTAAGGAGTTTTGGTTTTTTTGGGTGTTTGTGTTTCCTTTATTAGTAAGGCAGGTATTGAATGTTGTGAATAGTAGTAACCGACTTCTACCGGCTAAACAACGTATGAAAGTTTGCCTAATTTGGTTCATCACAAAAAACGCGGGTTTGTATTTTATTCTCTTCTTCTTTCCCTAAGTTTGTAATTGAACTTCTATGATGATGTTTTTGTGTGCTTGCGAGGTAAATCTTAATTAATGATGGAAATAATATAAAGTTTAAATAAATACAAAGTGTTTGGGTACTAAAATAGTCATACCCATTTTAATCAAGGGTAATTTTACCTTTATAGGCCCAAATGGCATAAAAAGGTCCAAAAGGCCCCAAATCAGTCAAATGCATTAATATGGCCTATAATTGCCCATATGTGTACGGGTTCACAATACACCCACCATATACTACTATATATACCCCTCAAGGGGCCAAAGGTAAAGGGAGATCAATCTTATCATTTAAGATGATCATATTCCTCGACTCTCTCCCCTAAACTCCTCTAAAAATATGCATTGTTTGGCTACTAACTTGTGCGTCGGAGGCTCCGCCCCGGGGTCCACCCCCGGGGCTCGAGGTTTATTTTGCAGGTCCTTTCAAGTCCCAAATTCGAGGTCCACAAGCAACCCTACAAGGCCCGGTTTGCTCATTTTTTTGCCGAAACACAAAGTACCTTTCACAAAATCATATGAATTAATGACATAATTTACTAAATATCTCAACGGTAAAAATCGCAACAGGAGAGAAAAATAAATGAAAAAATACATTATTTCACTCCTACGGGCATGTCTGGAATTCCAGTATTATGAAGGGGATAATATCTAATGGGGTAGATTGCTATATTCTACTAAAGTACGCCTGACAAACGAGTCGTTCGGGTTGGGTTCAGATCATGTCAATTCGGCTCGGGTCAATTTTGGGTCAACAAATATTCGGGTCGGGTTAATTCGGATTTTAGGTCAGCACTTCGAGTCGAGTAATGTTTATGATCACTTTTCGGGTCGGGTCAATTCAGATCAAGCCAAGTTTGTGTCGGGTCACCAAATTAAATTCACTAACAAAAAATAGTTGGAAAAATAAAGTAAAATCGTTAAAAAAAATTTAAAAAAAAAACGTGAGTACCTATTACTTATTAGGAAAGAAAGAATCCCTAAACTACGTAATTAACCATTTCACCCTATTGATTTCAGGAATCGGGTCGGGTCGGGTCGCCTCGGGACAAGTTACTTCGGGTCGGGTCGATTCGGGTTAAAATCGGGTCGAGTCAAGTTCGGGTTTTGTGTCAATTTCGGGTCGGGTCATTTTAGGCATTAGGTCACATTTGGGTGAACTCCATTTTCGGATCGAGTTCAGGTTCGGGTCGAGTTAGTTCGGGGTTGGGTCATTTTCAGGTCAATGATTTCGAGTAATTTCGGGCCATGAGTCAAGTTTGGAGAGTATTAATTAATTATCTAAGGTTTGGCAACAATATTGGGGTAAAGACCACCACTTCATGGCAATGGGTGGCAACCACCATGTCATTGATAAATTTGAGACCACTACATCGCCTCACTTGAAAAATTAAAAGTCCTAACCTTTTGTTCAACTATCTCTTCAACCAATGGCTAAAATTTAAGATACTTGTTAGTAATTTGCCATAAATGATTAGCTATGATGGCCGCTAGCAGCTTCCATCGGGCGGGTATAATGGAAGTCAACAACTTCAATTGGGTGGGAGGGATATGGAGGTGAAGGAGATAGTATTATAGCAAGGGAGGATGAAGTGTATAAAGTGTATAGGAGAGGAGTTTTTTTTTTTTTTTTTTTTTTTTTTTTTACAAGGAAAAATAGTTATGCTAGGGGGGTGGGTAATTATAACCTCCTTTTTGAGGGGGAATAGGTTACCTCCACTAATTAATTACCCTAGCTAGATCCAAACTTAAAAAATTCCGAAGTTATTACTCGTGTATTTTTTCCTCTCCCGTTACACCCATTCCAGGCAGGCCCTAAGGAGGATTGTTCTACCGCGCTAAAATTCTGCATAAGTTAATTTGGTTTTTTTTTTTTTTTTTAATGTTAGAGCTACAAGAACATGTGATGAGAATCAATCTTATAATTTGTCAATTTAGAGAGAATAGAGTGTTGTATCTCGTATTAACGTATACACGAATATATATACAACCTAAGAGAGTAGGGCGAAACATTACACTGGCCCATTAGCTATATACATAATATATGGTCCAACACCCCCCCCCCCCTCATGTTGGAGCATGCAAATCACAAATGCACAACTTGCCCAGTAAATACATGAATTGTTGCTTGTTCAATGCCTTAGTAAAAATATCCGCAAGTTGTTCCGTCGTTTTCACATACGACGGACTGATAATTCCATCCTGAATCGCATCACGGAGATAATAGCAATCAACCTCAATGTGTTTAGTATGCTCATGGAAGACCGGCATCCGCGCAATATACAATGCGGATTGACTATCACAAAATAAACTCATTGCACGGGGATGCATAACACCTAGACTCAGAAGGAGAGCCTTGTACCACTTCAACTCATCAGTGGTTTTAGACATTGAACGAAATTCGGCCTCAGCGGAAGACTTAGCCACAGTGTCCTGCTTCTTAGTCTTCCAGGATATAGGGGAAGCACCAAGAAACACCAACCAACCAGAACTAGATCGTCTCGTGAGAGGACAACTAGCCCAATCCGAGTCACACCAACCTGTAATATGCAGATCACAATCAGAGCTCAAAAGGATTCCCTGGCCCGGACATCCTTTCAAGTAACGCACTGTACGAAGAGCGGCCTCCCAAAGATCCTGACGCGGTTGTTGCATAAATTGAGACAGGATATGAACCGCATAAGCCAAATCAGGTCTCGTGAAGGATAAATAGATCAAGCGACCCACAAGACGACGATACATTTCAGGATCAGAAAAGAAAGAAGACTCTGATTTGGCCAGAGTATGATTCTGCTCAATAGGAGTACCTGCAGGTCGTGCCCCTAGCAAACCAGTCTCTGTAATAATATCAAAGTATATTTCCGTTGACATAAAAATATGCCCTCCGGACTACGCGCAACCTCAATACCAAGAAAATATTTCAACACACCCAAATCTTTCATATGAAAACAGTCACTCAAATAAGATTTGAATGAGGAAATTGCAGAAGAATCATTCCCAGAAATAATCAAATCATCAACATACACCAGAACACTAAGTTGAATAGCCCAGATTGCAGAGTAAAAAGAGAGTAATTAGAGTACGATTGTACAAAACCGTACCTTTTCAGAGAGGAGGCCAACTTAGAAAACCAACAGCGAGGCGCTTGCCGTAACCCATATAAGGACTTGAGAAGACGACAAACTAACCCAGACTGAGAACCATGAAAACCAGGTGGAAGCTTCATATAAACTTCCTCATCAAGATCATCGTGTATAAAGGCATTATGAACATCCATTTTGTGTAATTTCCCAATTTTTTGCAGAAACCACCGCAAGAAAGGCACGAACAGTAACCATTTTTGCCACGGGAGAAAACGTCTCGTTATAATCGATACCCTCAACCTGATGATTACCAAATATAACGAGACGAGCCTTCAATCTTTCAATTGTGCCATCGGAATTAAGCTTGACCTTGTATACCCAACGACACCCTAATGCTTTCTTTCCCGGAGGCAACTCTACCATCACCCATGTTTTATTATTTTCAAGAGCCGAATTCTCCTTTTGCATTGCCTCCCTCCAACCATCGTGCTTCATAGCCTCATTAAAATTACGAGGCTCAACAATCGAATCCACAGCTTCAATAAACACACGATGTGGGACAGAAAAGTTATTACAATTCACAAAATGTGCTAAGGGATAAGGAGTACCTGAGGAGCTTGGAGTAGACGGTGAACAAGGGGAGATAGATGGACTGTCAAGAGAAATAGTATGTGCGACGTAGTCTCGATGCCAACCCGGAGCTTTCCTAGACCTTTGACCACGGCCTAGGTCCGGTGTAGGAGTAGTAGAAGTGCTCGGAGCAGCCACGTTTGGGTCCGTGGAGCTGCTGTCCGAACTGGCAGAGGCAGTGGCAGTGGGAGCAGCGCCATCTGCTGCTATGTGAGCAGCGTCAGCAGCAGCCGCAGGTGGCTTGCGGTGGGGGCTGCTATCCTGGGCAGTAGCCGCAGGTGGCCTGCGGTGTGGGCTGCTGTCCTGGGCAGCCGTAGGTGTGGCAACATGGGCAGGGGTGGGGGGTTGATTTTCGGGGACAAGTGACCCCTCACCCACCTCCAAAATATATTCCAAGTCCTCTAAAAAATCATGATCAACCCCAACATTTTCGTGAGACATATCCGCAACATTTTCAAGACTAGAAACCGACTCATCCCCTTTCACAAACGGAAATTCATTCTCAAAAAATTTAACATCACGTGAGACAAATATTTCACCGGTATCTAAATCATACAATTTCCAACCCTTCTTGCCATGAGGATAGCCCACAAATACACACTTTCTACTTCTTGGAGCAAATTTATCACCCTTTGCTTTTTGATTATGAGCAAAGCAAAGACACCCAAAAACACGCAATTCATCAAAATTAGGGGCTTTGCCAAAGAGAAGTTCAAATGGAGTTTTGTTGGCTAATAAACTAGAGGGAGTGCGATTAATTAAATAAACCGCTCCAAGCACACATTCACCCCAAAGATCAATCGGCAAGTTGCCTTGGAACATAAGTGCACGACTCACATTTAAAATATGTTGATGTTTAGGCTCTACCCGCCCACTTTGTTGAGGGGTGCCAACACAAGAGGTTTGAAAAAGAATGCCATTGTCATTAAAATACGGAAGCATGTGTTTGAATTCGGTTCCATTATCACTCCGTACACATTTAACAGTAACATCAAATTGACATTTTACCATAGCAAATAATGAACAAAAAGAAGAATAAACTTCAGTTTTGTCATTTAATAAATAAACCCAAACACCTCTCGAATAATCATCAACAATAGTTAAGAAATAGTGAGCTCCACAAGTAGAAGGTGTCTTATATGACCCCCATAAATCACAATGAATCATTTCAAAAATTCGACTAGCTCTACTATCACTATTAGAAAGTTATCTCTAGATTGTTTAGCTTGAGGACAAACATCACATTCTTTATTCAAAAATTTGCTACTAGAACTAGAACTAACAGCAGGAACTAACTTGACAATCTTATCCGACGGATGCCCCATACGACGATGCCATAACTCGAATGTCGAAACCGCCGAACTTGACACCGCACACACTTTAGGAAGTCGCCGAAAATAGTAGAGCCCATCTATCCGTTCACCGCCTCCAATCAGGCTCCCCGAGAGTTGGTCCTGTATAGCACATAAAGAGTTAGTGAATTGTACATAACATGTAGAATCATCAATCATTTTAGAGACGGAAATTAAATTGCAATTTAATTTGGGAACGTATAACACGTTATCAAGAATTATTCTATCATCTAAAACCACTCGGCCCTCCTTTGTTTCCATGGCTTGAGTACCATCCGGAAGACCGACATGACAAGGAGATATGAATTTCACATCCAGTAAACAAGATTCGGCACCGGTAACATGATGAGAAGCGCCGGTGTCGATGATCCAAGACAATGTAGGAGACTCACCCGTCATCTTATCTTGTTGACGATTATTAGCCATGGTTAAGAGAAGACGAACATGCTCGGGTTGGAGTTCGGCCAAAGCCGAGAGGGTATCTTGTGAAGGCAGAGATGCGACAGCAGCAGTGAGTGAAGCACCCACGGCATTAGCTCTAGCCGTGAGCTTGACCTGATCAGCCACAGAAGACGGGGCAGCAGTAGCAGCGGTTCTGCTCGAAGCAGGGGACCCCTGCTGTCCCGTAGCAGACCCCCCCTTTTTTCCATATTTCTCGAGCCACCAGTCGGGATATCCGTGAAGCATAAAACACCCCACGTTATCATGACCCACACGCTTATAGTGGGTACAATAGAGTTTCGATTTATCCACTCAGTATGTGGATTGAGAAGACCTTCGATCAGGGGGTAGCGCAAATACATGGGCTTCATCCTTCTGCGATTTCGAGGCAGCAATTGCACGAGATCGTTCCTCCTGCAGCAGAGCTTGGTAGGCACGATCAAGATTAGCAGGGGGTTGTTGAGAGAGAAGGTTGGTGCGCACAACCGCATATTTTTCATCATCAATCCCGACCCAAAACTGATGTAATTTCTCCACTTCCCTGTCTAATTCATACTTGGCAGCCACGTTACATGAACAATTGCCACACTCGCAGCCATGTGGTGGTTGCAATCGAAGAAGTTCATCGTAGTAGCCCATCAGCGTAGTGTAATATTCTTCAACGAACATGTTCTTGGTTTGCTTACAATTAGTGATAGCAGCCCTCAATTGTTGTAGCCGAGGTCCGCTTGCTTCACAAAAACGCTTCTCCAAATAATCCCAAAGCTTATTTGCCTCATCAAAGTAGGGAATCGATGCAGCGAGTTTCGGATCGACAGCCCGCAAAACCCACGACACCAACATAGAGTTGACTGTTTCCCAGTCGAGCATCTTCTTCTTCTCGGTGGGTTTTGAAATTGTGCCATCGATGAAGACGAATTTGCGCCTAGATTTCAAGGACAAGGAGATAGCCCTCAACCATGAGAGATAGTTTTCACCCTTCAAAATCACTTGGGTGATCAAATTTCCAGGTTGATCACCTGAGCCGAGATAAAAGGGATATGAAGAATCGATTTTTGAGTCGTCCACCATTGTCAATTAGAGAAATTTTTAGAGAAAAAATTAGAGAAAAATTTAGGATTCGTAGGGTTTAGTGTTGTTCAGGCTCCGATACCATGTCAATTTAGAGAGAATAGAGTGAATAGAGTGTTGTATCTCGTATTAACGTATACACGAATATATATACAACCTAAGAGAGTAGGGCAAAACATTACACCGGCCCATTAGCTATATACATAATATATGGTCCAACATAATTTACTAAAATCATAAGGGAACCTCTAACCACCTGAAATGTCCTCACTCTCATTTAGCAGATTAGTAAAGTTCTATCTCACTCTCATTTAGTGGATTAGTGAACTAGACATTTTGAGGATGAGGGTAGAAAATTGGATCTCCAACTTCGAATACATAGAAATTAAAGGCTCTTACTCAAAATTGAAAGGTAAAATCAATATCATTAAGTCTAGCTTGATCAGATAACTCGTTGTCCTGCGCGAATAGAATCATACGGACCACGGAGTACATGGGAGTATGGCTGTATGGGACTATGGGAATGTACTTTTATAAGCTTGGATTTTAGCTCAAAGGATTAGTGGGCCACTCCTGTAACCCAATTTTGTTATGGGCTTGTATTGTTCATATATCAATAAGTCTATTGTAGACCCTGGTCCATCTAGAACTAGATGGACCACCGGGCCAATATACACTACAAACCTCATATCTTGCGGTCCAAACACTCTCAAAATTTATTCAGTTTCTTTCTTTATGTTATTTCTCTACAACAACATATTTCTCTCCTCTGCAACAGCTTTCATTTATTACTTTCATTTCATTTTTCAATTGCTCAACTAGTTATCTCTCTCCTCTATGAATATCCATGGAAGATAAACAAGAAAAAGGTCCAGAAATGTAATTAAATATCTGAACAACTTAAAACTTCATTAGATTTCTTTAAATTCGTTAAATGATTTCCTTCGAAATTGTTGTAATTTGTTAAAATTATTTAAATTTTTGTAATTTGTGAATTATTTCATATTATTTTTCACATTTTTTTAGAAACTTGACAAATTATTCTACAATAGTGATGAAGATGAATTGTTGAAGCTAATCCAATCGATTTCAAGGCATGCAGTGCAATTGTTCGGATATTTTTACCAAATGTTCAAAATTTGCGATGTTCAGATTTTTTTATAAAAAGTTCAAATTTTGAAATTTTTCAAATTTTTTACTAAATGTTCAAAAGTAAAGGCGTGGTATAATGCGATTGTTCAAATATTTTTACTAAATATTCAAATTTTACGATGTTCGGATTTTTTTTACTAAA